TGGGAGATGAAGACAGGGCACGGGGAGGCTGGCCCTTCATTCGGGTTCGGCAGCCCCCTTCCCCTCACCCACTCCCCGACTGGCCGAGCTGCTTTCCCACCCTTCCGCCCATGTGGTCTCCGTGCCATCCCAGAGCCAGCTCCTCCTCATCCAGCTCCCACACCCCGAGGCCATCTGCCTCGCTCCAACTTAGGAATTTTGCCAGGTGCCACTTACAGATTAGGGAAAATCCTGCCAGCGCCTCCATCCTGGGTTTGCATTTTGACCATCCATATGGAAAATGGCCTGTGGGCCAGCCCCCGTAGCGCTGCGGTGAAGTGCTGTGTGTAGGGAGCAGAAGCCCACGTGGCCTATGGCAGTTCGAATCCCAGTTCTAGCAGCACAAAAGCTGTGTCAGGCACGTGTGCGTGTGCCCAGAACCCTGACAGCCTTGAGAAATGGGGGAGGGTGGGCTGTGTGTGACCCCGCCCCGCTGGGATGCTTTCTTTTCCGTCCCTCTCTCCCTCTGTCACTCTCTGGTACACACAAATGTCCTCTGGCAATAAAAAATCAGGGGGGCCAGCAGGTGGTGTGGTAGTAAGGCACTGGACTCCCACGTGGCTGACTGTGGTTTGAGTCCTGGACCTGTCAGCTTGCTTTCTCACTTTCCCCCCATCTCTCTCTGTCTCTCTCTGGTCAAGTTAAAAAATAATAAATTAGAAATAAATAATTCTTGAAAAAAAATAAGGAAAGAAAATGATCATGCCCACTGAGTGTGATGGGCAGGGGCCAGCTCTGCTTTAGTGACCGGCCTGCACTTGGGCTCTAGCACGTCCCTCCTGAGGGCCCGTCACCTCACGTCCAGGCTGCAGGACTGAGGGTTGTCCTTCCCTGGTCACCACTGCTGGCTGGTCCATGAGACGGGGTCCCTGGCGCCCTTGGCCGTATTGGTTCACCCATGGCTGGACCATGGCCAGTGCCTACCTGCAAGCTGCCTGTGCCCACAGGGTGACATCGAGGGGGGGCTGGGGCCGGGAGGAGCGGGCAGGAGGGAGTGTGACGGCGGCGCCCCTCCATGTTGATTTTTCCCCTGCAGGCAAGAATGACGGCTCCATCGGAGGGAAGCAGTACTTCAAGTGCAACCCGCAGGGTGCCCCCGAGGCCCGCCGGAGTGCCACCCTCTCGGGCTCCGCCACCAACCTGGCCTCTCTGACGGCTGCCCTGGCCAAGGCAGACAAAAGCCACAAGAACCCTGAGAACCGGAAATCCTGGGCTAGCTGAGCGCAGCCTGCGGTGACCATGACAGGAGCCCATCCTCAAGCCGCCCAGCGACAGCCCTGGGGACCCTCCCACGTGCAGGGCCAGTGACCTCCCCTTTCCACCCTCCTCGGGACCCTGGAAGCTTCCTTCCTTCCTCTGCCCAGAGTCCACGTTGGCGGTGCCTCCTTGAGGAGGTCGAAGGTTCTGGGAGCTCGGAGGGAGTGGGAGCCTGGCAGCGAGGCCCTGGCTGGTGCCCTGGCCCCCCGCAGGGCTGTGCTTGCGCTCCCTTCCCCAGTTCCAGCGCGCCTGGCGGTGTCTTAATTTAAATGGCAACCCTAACTGTGCCGTCCACCTGCAGGGACACCCCCGCCACCCCAACACCGGCTCAGCTGCGCCCCCACTTCCTGCACCCAGTGCCTCTGTCTAGCCTCCGGGCCTCGGACGCAGGACCCGCGCCTTCCTCCGGCCGCTGCTCCGCACAGGGCTTCTGAGGGCTTTCTTGGTGGTGGTTTAGTGTCTTAGCCCCGAGAGTCTTTTTGTTTTCTGTTATTCCCTTAACTGAATGCCTGGAGTATATTTATTTATATTTATTTTTCCAAAACCTGAAATCATTCGCGAGCCACAATCGCCGTCGGCCTGGGCGTGGGCACTAGGCCGCTGGGGAGCTGCGTCCCCTGCCCTGTCCTGGGGTGGCTCCTGGGGGCACCTCACGCGCTCTGTGTGCGGAGCTGCAGGTGGCGTCACTCGTACCAGATGACGGCAGCGTGGGCAGCGTGGGCGCCCTGGAGGCGACGGGGTAGGGC